TAATGAAAAGCATGAACAAGCTGTCAAGTATTTTCCTCACAATGAGAAAGTACGTAAGCTGAAGGAAGATGCCATGGGTATTTGTGACGAGCAAAGATTACGTTCCCAAGCTATGCCGGACAATCATAGCCTTTCTTTTAGCCAAGACGATGAGTATTAGCAAGATCCGGCTGTCATTGAAGTTTGGGATAGATTTTCTAAGATTTCAACTAATGAGAAGAATGTTGAATCCTCAGTCTTTTCTAGGGCTGATTGTCCAACCATAACAAAAGCCATTGATGTTACAAAGATTGCTGCTGAAAGTGTTCAGATAAATTAGTCTTTCTGAAAATGAAGGTCCTGCTATTGTAGTTGAAACTAAAAAAGCTGAAGGAGGTTCAAGTATTCGAGCTAGATTGAGATCTTCAGTTAAAAAACCTGTTGGAACTCCTACATTCAGTTTAGGTATCTTTTCTCAAGAAACTGATTCTCAGGAGAAGTCCCCTAGTAGTGCACCTACTGATGAACTTGTACTTGCTCCTGTCAGTGCACAAGTTGGTGCTTCTGCAATAGCTTCTATATTAGTTGTTGCTACTGTTGCTAATGCTCTAAATGCTAATCATCAAGAGCCCATTTCTGATGCTTAAGAAGATCCAATTGTGCTTAAGAGAAAAGGAGATATTGAAAAAGAGAGTTCTATTCCGAAGAAGAAGCGTAAAGTGCAACCATCGTTGCAGATTAGATCTCCTTTTAAGTCTCGGATTATCAAAATTTACACACCATTAACAGCAGTTCAAAAAGGTGTTATGGATTCAGTTTTTCATGAGAAGAAAAATCGTTTGTAAGTATTTATTTAAATCATATAATTGTATATCTTGACTTATCTAAAATTTTCTCATTTTCAAAATGAGCAATATTTTCTTATTTAAAAATACTAAGCTAGACCTATTTTAAGAAATACATTTCAGAGTAAAGGGTGATGGAAATTTCAGTAGCCTCTTGCATTTTGAAGTACCCCTCTGGAAATTGCCAATTGACCTTATGTTTTTTTCTTAAAACGAGTCCAGCTCTGTATTCTCATTTTACATACCTTTGATTAAAATTATATTAACTTCCCTAAATCTTATATGTAGTGATATAGTGTTTTCATACGAGGGTGAGGCTGGTATTGAAGTAATGATATTTTAACTTGAAATGCTAAAAAATCAGAACAAAATTCATTGCAAAATCATTAGTGCATGGTCTACTATTCTGAATTATAATGAGCAATATAGAGATATCAATTCTCGTGGACGTTTCTTTTTCAATCTTACTGCAAGTGTAAGTTCAACTCGTTCATTTTATTTTGTTTTATTTTGTTCATATTCACTTTGCTCATTTCATATGTATTTGAATGTAGATCTAGTTTGTATTTCCAAAAACTAATACTAGTTCTTTACTCATTTGTCAAACGAGAAAACTATTCAATGCTCATTTGTCAAACTATTCTTGCTCATCCATTGAAAATGAATATTTATTTTTTGCTCATTTGTCAAATGAGCAGTTAATTTTTTGCTCATTTGTCAAATGAGCAAAACTTTCAGTGCTCATTTATCAAATGAATTTGAATTTACTCATTTTATATGACTTTGCTCATTTCATATTCACTTTGCTCATTTCATATTTACTCTTTTCATTTATATTTATCTTATTTATGTATTTTTCTTTATGTATTTTTTTTAAGGAATGTCTTTTTCAATATGAAAGTGATCGTGCTCTACAAAGGAATAAATTTTTTTGTGATATAGCGGAGCCGGAATCAGAAAAACAGTCCCCAAAGAAAGATGTGAGCTTTTCTTTTTCCCCGTATTTGAAAAAGATCATTATTTTTTGGTATGTTTTAACACCACCACAGAGCGTGGTACAATGGAGGTTATTGATTATAGAGAAAGCTCTGGAGAAAACAAGAAATTTCTTTAAAATCTGGTATGGCTTAAGATTTTGTTAGATCATTTGAGAAAAATGATTAGAGTTTAGTTGTTTATCTTGTTCTTGTTCTGCCTATATATGTTCTGACTATATTTGTTCTACCTGTTTTTGTTCTTATTTTAATTTATTTGTTCATTTTCAGAAAAGTGCATTTTCATATTTCATGGATGGTGAAGGAACTATACAAAGTGTTGTTTTGTCTAAAGAGATCAAGTCTATGGAGTATGTAGTGATTGATTTACCCTGGAAGTGTTCAGATGATGATCATTTGCATTGTGGAGTTGCAATGATGAGGCATATGGAAACATATATGGGTTTGCAAAAATGGAATTCAGGTTTGAAGAAAAATAATGTAAGTCTTTCACATTTCATGCTTATTGTTGGTGCTTCAAATGCTTCAAATCTTCTTTGGGTTGATTGTGTGGAGCTCATATGGGTGACAATACTTTCAACATAAGTTAAGAATTACTAGCTATCTTGAATGTTGGTTTGTCTTTAGTTTTTGACGCGTACCCCCAACCAGCTCATTTCATGAAGTGAACAATAACACCTTCTGCCTGTTGTCAATCCTTTTCCTAAATATACTAATTACCCTCTCTGTCATTTATATTCAATAGTTATAAATTTGTTAAACTTGAAGTATGACAGTGTCTAATGGTCTATATATGCTTTGAGTATTGTTCCGTGTCATCCTTGCTGAGTGGGTGACTGAAAAGTTTTGCATACATATCTCCTGCTGCACATGGTGGTGCTTATTTTCTTCCAAATAGGTTTCTAAGGATCCAGATTTATGTTAGATGTTGGTAAATGGCAGCTGGCTATTAGTAGAAAAGATCTGTTTTTGTTAATATCAAATTCCATGAAATCTTTATTTGCATTCCCTTCATTCCATTGCTTAATATATTCTAGATAATAATACCAATTGCCAGCTGATAAATGATAATTGTGTGATAATCAAGGACTAAGGATATTAGTGGAATCAGATTGTCATGCAATTTCAAAATTTCCTGCTAGTGATTAATATGAACCTTGCTAAAGAAAAATGCACAGAATACAGAGTCTTAACCTTTTGATATGAGTGTCATGCTCTCCACTTTTAGCCATCTAATAGATTGATTATTTTTCAGCTGATATTTTCATTTTCTTTTCTCCCTAATTGATGGATGCCTTTTTTTTCCTTTTTTTTTATTTGGAAATGCATGAAGATTTGGCTTTTTATAATGTTGCATCTGTAAATACATTTGAGATGTTTGTTTTCAATATACAAGTCTATGTAAGTCTTTCACATTTCATGCTTGCTGTTGGTGCTTCAAATGTTTCAAATCTTTCGAAATGAACAAACAATTCTTTGCTAATTTGTCAAATGAACAAATAATTCTTTGCTTATTTGTCAAATGAGCAAATAATTCTTGCTCATGTGTCAAATGAGCAAACAATTATTTGCTCATTTGTCAACTTACATGTCTTTTTCATCTCATCTGAGTATTATAATTGTCCTTTTCTAAGGGAATCAAACCCTCGATGCTTTGGTAGTTGCAAATACTAAAATACTTATTTGCTCATTTGAAAAATGAGCAAATACAATTGATACCTTTTATGTCTTGTGATTCAAATGATCCCTTTGATACTCTTAGCCCATTTGTTTCTTTCAGTATCTTCTTGTTTTTTTCTTTACTAAGACTCTAAGTGCACAGAAGAACATAGCAAGGCCTACTCCTATGGCACCAACGGTCACTCTAGATACTGCAGCAGCAGCAATAACTCCAGTATTGGACATTCCTGATGATTCCTGATGATTTCTAACAAGGGCTTAGTTTATTGAACTTATATACATATATATATATGTATATACATATATATGTATATACAGATATATATATGTATATACATATATATATATATATGTATGTATATATATATGTATGTATATATATATGTATATTATATATATAGTTTAAATCCCGTGTTATGCACGGTTTTACTAATTTTTTAGTGAATTATATAGCAACAATTATGTACCAAAAAAAATATCACGAACTATATTTTTAAAGGAAATAAAATAGCTAGAATTTCAATTTATACTCATGCCAAAGATATCAAGATTATTGATGCAAAAGACTTAACAAATCAAATAAAATGAAAGAGATTTGTGGACTATGAGGTTTTATACTACCCTTATACAAAAATGTAAATTTTAGATGAGGTATTTCACCAAATGCCACTAAGCACTTTAATAATTCACCAAATGCCATCAAGGTTTTCAAAATTCACCAAATGTCACCGAGTTTTTTAAAAATTCACCGGGTGCCATTAATGACTAACGACCGTTAACTCCATTAGTCATTAGGATTTAATAATGACACATGTCATGATATGATTGGTTCATTTTAATCATTTATTTTAATTAATAAAAATTAAAATTTCCATGATGAAAATTGTTCGGGTAAAGTTTTGGGGGTTATTTGACCCTTTATGGGTTAAAATTAAGCTCTAAATTGGCAAAAAAAATAACGTAAATGCCCCGTTTTGTGTGTCAAAAAATATCTCGATTAGCGAGTCATTTTTTAACCATGAAAATTGATCGGGTAAGGTTTTGGAGGTCATTTTGATCCTTTATGGGATTAAATTAAGCTCAAAATTAGGAAAAAAAATAATGTAAATGCCCTGTTTTGTGTTTCGAGAAATATCTCAATTTGCGTGTTGGTTTTTTTAACTATGTAAATTGTCCAGGTAAGGTTTTGGCAGTCATTTGGGCCCTCTATAGATCCAAAATAAGCTCAAAATTTGCAAAAAGATAATGTAAACGCCCTATTTTGCGTGTTAAGATCGTAATTTTTTTTACCGTAAAAACTGCAAAATGAGGCATTTACGTTAAATTTTTGCCAAATATGAGCTTAAATTAGATCCTAAGAGGGTCAAAATGACCCCCAAAACCTTAACTGGTCAATTTTAATGGTTTTAAAAAAAATACACTTATTAATCCCAACTATGGCTGATTTACTTTTAATAAGCCCAACTAAGGTTTATTATCTAATAATCCTAACTATTGGGTATGTTTGCTAAGAATAGTCCCAGCAGGTCACTAACCTATTGATGCCGGTCATATTCCTACGTGACTTTTGTTTTTTTAATTTTTTTTTTGACTTAAATCCTTCTTTGATGTAATTTAAAAAGAACTCCCCCTCCAATTTTTTTTTCCCGTTACTTACGCTCTCGATTTGTGGCAAAAAAAAATCCCTGTTTTTAATTCCTTTAATTTTGCGATGGCATGTGGTAGGATTCAAGGAGGTGGGTCTTCTTCTTCATCTTCAAGCTCCAGGGGATGGATGTATTCAACCACGAAATGCAATTGTGGATTGGATGCGGTTGTGCGCACAGTGAAGAAGGGCCCTAATGTTGGTTCAAAATTCTTCAGTTGTCCAAAATGGCCTGTAAGTAAATTGATTATTGTTTGCTTATATAATTTTGTGGGTAATTATACCTTACTTGCCTTAGTTAATTGGTTAATCCTTAAATTGAATTGAAATTAGGGTTTACTTCAATTGTACAGGATACTGAATGCAATTTTTTGAAGTGGTTTGATTGCAACAATGGTGACGACTTGAGATTTCAGATTTTTGAAAGGGAAACAACAATTACGGAATTGGAGATGCAAAAGAATATGTTAGAAGACAAAGTGAAGAGATTGCAAGCAAAGAAGGGACACTTTGTGGATGAAGTACAAGAGATGAAAGCAGAAATTAGCCAATTAAGGATTGAGCTTATGAGATCTTCAAGGAATAAATCCAATTTAACAATGACCCTGTTTTTCTCAAGGTTTTTTTTTGGCATTGTGGTTTTCATGATGAAGTAGGGTTGTAACTTAGAAATGAATTAAGTGGTGTGAAGTTGTAATCCAAGTATCTTAGGATTAAGTAGCAATACTAGTGTTTTGGAATTAGTACTTGTTGTTTTGGTATGTAACTTGTGACGTTTTATGCAATGGAAAATAAAATTCTTCTTTCTAAAATACATGTGTAAATTGATTTAAATTTAGTACATTGCAACAATGATATCTTATCATAATTGTTTGAACAAAATACCTAAAATATATTGCAACCCTTGTAGCCAAATCCAAAATATCGAGCAAATTAACAAGCTGGTGCTACACTATAGAAGTTTTCATGATGAAGTACAGTTGCATACTAGATTCATAGACAATTCATAGACAACTTAAGGACATAATTATTTTATGCATGCACAAAGTGTTGAAGTACTACTGAGTTGGGTTGTGGAGGGTTGATTGCTGACTTGATTGACCACCAATGATGTAATTCAAGTTTTGTTAGTTCAATGCTTTGCTGATGCTCCTCATTGTGGTTGCTGCCCCTACTAGCTCTCTTCTAGATTTACCCCTTACCTGTTCAAAATATGTAGATATGATTAGTGAATAAACATGATTAGTGAATGATGACAGTGGTGAATTAATAATCATGGAGTTGGGTTATCTTTCTTACATTATTATGTACAGGCCCATCATCACCAATGACAACTCCAACTCCCCTTGGCACTAGAAAGTTGGCTCTTCCTCTGCCCCTACCACCTCTGCCCTTTCCTTGGCCTGCTACTGCAATTGCAGGTTGTGCTGAAGCTGAAGCACCTGCAGACTGTCCTGCACTTGAAGTGGCTGCAGATTGTTGCCCTCCTCTTGCACCTTTTCCACCTCTAATTTATCTTCCTCCTCTCCCAAGCATTGTGGGTTGTGCAGAGATATCTTGGTGTGCAGAAGGTGCACTCTCAGTTGCTGACAGAGGGGTTTGGACTGGGTTGCCCTCTTTCCTAGGCCTTCTCCTAGGCTTTTTCTGGGGTAGTTCACTGGTGGTGTCTGCATTATCCTTATTTGGGCATCTCCTCTTGTTATGTTCTTTGGATTTTCAGACAAAACAAGACATTTCAATACCAGTCTTAGTTAAAGATCCTGGTTTCTTAGGGTTCTCAAAGGGGTCCCTAATCCTGTTCTTTCTTGGTCGTTCTGAACCTGATTTAATGGAAGGTGGGTCTAGGGGGCAGACAATTTTAAGCCAATATCTTTCACCCTATAAGGGTGGAATTGATCCTATCACATGTGTATACATTCAATTAAACACATACCACACACACAATAACCAAGTGACATCAATGAAGGGAATTAATTGCATGACTTATGTAAAATGTCAACTACATGTACAACAAATATAGAAAGGGAAAGAAAAGTTAACTGCATATGCTTTCAGATAATTCTCTCTAGTGTAACAAGGGTCCACAAACTCTTCTGCTTCTTTGTTTAGAAAGAAGATGCGGGCACATGCATAACAGCAGGGAATGCCTAACATATCCCATTTCCTACAGGTGCAAGTTTTTGCATCCAAATTAACTACTACCTGATCAAGGCAGTAGGACACATTGAAGAGAGTCTCTGAAGAAGGGAAGACCTCACAGTATGCTACTTTATCTTTCTCCTTATTAAGCTTTGTCTGAATTCTTGGGCAAAGAACAAAACTAGACTTGCTCATTTCTTGCCTCTTCTTAACAAGCCTTGGCATGAGACTAGATCTTATCTCCTCAAGCATGTACAAAAGATGCTTGGTTCTGGCTTGAATAATGTAACCATTGAAGGTTTCAGCAATGTTGGAGGTGATGGCATCTGTTTTAATTGATTTCTTCATGAAATCTCTACAAAAAGAGGGTGTATTGTAAAGATTTAAAGTCTCTGCTACATCACAGTTGATTTCACTCAACTCTTTCAAAGCATCATCATAGTCTGCTTGTTGTAACACTTTGCAATTTTCCAGAATTCCAATTTGAACTCATCTCCTCTAGAGGTCTTGTGCCAGTGCGCAAACACATGCTTGGCACAATGCCTATGTTTTTCTTTTGGCAGAACAGTTGACACATCATTTAAGATAGTCTGTCACATTGAAAGTAAACACCAACAAATAAGATCAAGCAGAAAAATCACAAAACACAAGGCAAAATATTAGTAAAACTCAAGTTTTTGACATACTTGGTGCTCATTAGAAATGAGCAGCTCCATCTCCTTCACCCAAGTCTAGGCATGCTTGAAGATGCTTGAAGAACCATTACCAGCTCAAGGTGTTTTCTCCCTCTACAGCAGCCCAAGCCATAGGATACATTTGATCATTTTCATCCCTCCCCACAGCACAAAGCAGCTGGCCACCCAAGAAATTCTTTAGAAAACAAGCATCCACAGCCAAGACCTTCCACAACCTTCCTTCCACCCTTTAGCTAGGCCCTCAAAATAGATAAACAATCTCTGGAACACTAGTGGAGGAACCTTTCCCATGATTGTCACTAACTCAGTATGACTTCCAGGGCTGGTCTATTGCAAACAAGCCAAGTACCCTCCCACCTTCTGGTCATGCTCATGCATACTCCTATGAAGCAGTATGTGTGCTTCATACTTTACTTTGTATGCAAAAACCCTAGTCACTATAATCTTATAAGCCCACTTAATGCACCCAACAATCTCCTTGGTAGGCCAATGAGGTCTTGTTTTGAACACATCAATAAACTGCTGAGCAACCCACCTGGCTTTCAATTGCCTGGTCTTCACCAGCAGTGTAGCCTTTCTAGTATGCCAAGAAGCATACAACCTAAAAGGACAACTCCTTATGCACCTTTCTCCAATTCTCTGACCCCTTCTCTTGCTGCTTTCATTGATCACAAGATTCTTCCCTTGGAACACTGCACACTTTGAAACTGCTTCTTTGAAGTCATCCCTTTTGGCAAACCTCAATCCTACTCTCCAATTGAACTGAGAAAAATCAGTGTTTGGGCTAACTAACAACCCCGATCTTTTTCTTCTGTTAGCCTCAACACCTTCATCTTCAGTTGTTGCTGGAGTATTCTCTTTCTCATCACTCTCTTCATATTCTGATAAACTCTCAGTTTCCTTTGCTTCCTCTTCTAGATTCTCAGTACTCATCTTCCTTTCCACTGCTTCTTTAGCCAACTAAGCAGCTGCTTGTACTAGTTGTGTGGTACAAGCCTTCACTCTCTCTCTTGCCTAAGAGTATTCCTCATCACTAACCTCAGAGTCATACAGTTCCCCATCATCAACAATGGTCTCATTATACTCATCATCTAACTCTGAATCTAAACCTTCCAATCCCCTTAAAAAACCCTCTTCTTCCAAGTCATCATCATCTCCATCAGTTGACTCATCATCAGTATAAACTCCCTGAAAGAAGTTGCCTTCATCAACAGCCTTCCCCTTCTTACTACTGTCCACTAGCACACCTTTCCCTTTATTTACTGCAAGGTTATAAGGGGGGTCATCTCCTTCACTTTCATCACTATTATAACCATATAGAAGCTCATCAAGTCTCAGAGGACTATCAGGCCTGTTATCAAGCCACTCATAGTCATCTGGCACACTATTAATTTTTGTTACAGTAGTAGTTTGTGCTTTAGGGGTTTTTTGTGGAGTTGGGTGTTTTTCAAAACTGAAGATGAAGTAGTATGGGTAATAAGGGGTGACTTGGGGAAGCTTTTTATTTGGTTGATGTGGCAGATTCTTTTTTGGGCAGCTGATGGTCAAGATTGGGTGGTTCTTTTAGAATTAATGTTGGGGCAGTGGCTTTTTTTGTCCTAGGACTTGACCTCGCTTGAGTCAATACAGTTGGTGGGCCCCTTTTTTAGTTTACTTTTCTTTTTGTTATGCTTGGATGTGTGTGGGGTAGACTGTGAAGCTTGTGTTAGTGGTTGGAAGTGTGTTTCAACAGGTGTGGGCTCTTTCGGTTCAAGTTATGGTAATTTCATACCATGGAATATATATAGCTCCACACATCTATACTTAACACCCAAAGCTGCTACCTCCAAAGCATCTTCATCACCTTGTAGTCTCCTCAATCCATCTACCATACTAAGCCCAGGAACCAAGAACAAAACACCTTTCACTTCTTTATCCCTACTAAACTCCTTGGCTAACTCAAAAAGGTCAAAGAAACTAACTAAATCCGGATCAATTGCTTTAGTTTTGCCAACACCTCCCTCATACACAAACCACAATTATTAATGTCTTTGAACAACCCACTTTGCCAAAATTTCAAATTTATCTTATCATCCATTGCAACCTAAAGTCTAAATGCAAACAAAACAACAATTACATATCTACAAGCATGCCACGAACAGTAAAACCCAGAATCAATATGCAATTAAACGAAACTAAACCCAGAAAATTTGACAAAAAAAAATTCAATTTTTTCAAATTAAATCGCTAAGCACAGACCCAATTAACACAATTCATGCATAGTTCTAGGTTTCAAATAACATTTATAGGATTAATTAACACGAAATAACGATAAAAATGCCAACTTTAAGGGATTTAGGGTTTACCTGGTCACCACAATTTTGCTTCGTCTGTGCTTCAATGCATCTTCAACTAGTTGGGTCACCGTCGCTCCTTTTTTCCCACAAATGGAAACCCAATTGTTGAGAAATTTTACCAATTTTGGAAAGTAAATTATGGTTGAGATGATATAATGGAAGAGAGGAAGCAATTATGGCGGGCTTAATTATTTTGCAGAGAGTAGTTGAATGGGTGAGAAAGAGGGTGACGTGGCAAAAATTTTGGGAGAGAAAGGAAATAAGACAAGTCAACCTAAGTTTTTGTCCACGTCAACAATGCTACATCATCATTAATTAAAAAAAAGAAAAAAAAAATTAACTTGTTTAACCGGTTCGCAGTCAATTGGGACTACTCTTGGCAAACATACCCAATAGTTAGGATTATTAGATAATGGGCGTTATTGTGAGTTAGTTTATTGAACTTATAATAGCATGGAGTCTATGTTAATGTATGTTCATTATTATGATTATACGGAGTAATGACAAGTAATAATTAATTAATTATTTAATGGGTGAGTTTTTTTTAAGTCAATTGGGGCACATAAAATAAGGCGTAGGGAGTAGTATTATGAGTGAATTTGTATGTTTATTCAATAGGAGTAAAAAATTCATCCATGCATTTCAAATCTCTAAATTCTTGGAAGAGTGCTTGTAACACCCTAAAGTTCACCCTCCTGTTTTTGTTCTTTTTCTTCCTTGCACTCTAGTGAATGTAGTGCAAGGAGTTGAGATGGTGCTATCTATTTATATTTATTAAATTAAAATGATCTTCGTTTGAAGTCTTATTTGATCTTTGTAAGGGACTTAAAATGTGTAATGTTAGATTAAGATATTAAAAAATAAATATTTGAAATACATGAGGTTTAAAAAATTAAACCAAATGTGTCCCATAAGTTTTCATTTTGGTGATAATAAAATACATTATTAACCATGAAAAAGTTAGTATTTTTAGGTATTGAATATATGTGTTTCTTTATTCCCTTCATCATATATTACCCTTGTATTTCTGGAAGAGAAATATACTGTTGCTGCATATACAAGTATAATTTATGTGTATTCAATCATAAGTTGGCTTGTTAGTTACCCCCAATTTTTTAAGGTATCCCAATATTACTCTATTTTGTGCATCTCTTATGTTTTTCCTTCCTTTATATATAGCCATGTTGCCCTTGTATCATGCATGGCTATTTTAGATAGCACTTTTAAACAATCTGGTATTAAAACTGCATGTCATGTCAATGTTACTAGTTTACTACTAGTAAAGCTTGTTACTCCGTATTTGTTATTGAAGTAAGTACTCGAAAGCATGTTATGGCTTGCTTTCTCTTTAACTGATTATACATCTCATTTGATTTTGCTCTGATCATATTGTGCACCCATAGACTATAGCCAAGTTTCTTGCATTATTATCGTTTTAACAGTGTAGTTTTGAATCTGCAGTCTCATCTTAGATAATTTTAGAGCCCTGCTAGGATAATGAATTTTAACTACCAGCTTCAGAACCAGATGTCTGATGAAGAAGAGTTTGCGCAAATGCTAAGTTCTTGTATCTCATATGACGATGGTTACCTCTCATCACCGAATGGAAGCTCCCCTAATATGTGGGGTACTTCAATCAACATTTCCCATTCGGTTGCTCATCATCAAGGTTCGCAATTTGTGCATGGAGAAAGCTCATCAGGTACCAAAATTAAAGATACCTCGTTGATTGCTGATGCTAATTCTCCATTTTCCGGGGTTTCATATTTGCCAGGCAATGGCGGTAACAACATCAATATATTTACAAACTGTGGAATAGTTTCGTGTACTGTTAGAGAGAATTCCCCAGCTCAACAGCAGAACTTCCAACCAGGCCAAATTTACCCAAAAAGGAATGGAAGACAAGGCGACCAGCTTCCTAGTCCAACTTATTCTCCGCAGATGATGATGCCAGCAAATCAAGCATCGATTACTCCTTTCATGAAGTATAAGAAGCCCCGGATAGAGATGACACCGGAGATTTACATGCATTCTTTTTCTGTTCCGCAGCTATCACCTAGTCAAGTCCCTATGCAGTTTAGAAGTTACGATCCTGTGACAGGCAGTAGGTTGCATCAGCAAAATATGGTACCAAAACAACAGCAGAATCAGTCCCCTTTATCGGTTCTCTCCACACAAAGGCATCCGATGCAGAGTCAGCCTCCACATCAGTTGACCGGAGATGTCCTGAAACAATTGACTACTACTGCTGCAGTGAGTGGAAGCATATGTTTACGCCAGCTGGTGTTTTTCATTCATCATCGACAGAATAGGCCACCTGTGAGTTGTTTAGCCTTGATAAAAAGTTTTGTTCTGTATTTCTAAACTAAAAACTTGCATTTTTGTCTAAAATCTAACTTAATCACAAGCTCTACATGAGTATTTCAATTAATATGGAACTTTGAATTCCTTGATTTGAGGTACTGATTTCTTTTTCCATTTGTACCTTGCAGGAAAATAACATTGGCTTTTGGAGGGAATTTGTGAAGCAGTATTACTCTCCTATGGCTAAGAAAAGACTCTGCGTGTCCATGACCTCCATGTTTAATAGAGACCGTCATCAGAAATTGTGGATGTGTGATTTATGTGGATCAAATGCAGCCAATGCAGGGAAAGGATTTGGTAAGCATTCTGCTGTTTATATTCTTGACAAACTTTAGTTACTCAGTATAATAAATATTTACTATGTATTATCCACTATCACCTTATCTACCTGCTGATTTCATGCATATCTTTTACTTGTAATATTATAAAATTTGCAGAGACATCTTATGAACTTCTTCCAAGAATGAGCCAGGTTTACTTCAAAAGCTGCGTTGAAGATGAACTTTTATACTTGGACTCACCTGTTGAAACAATACTTCCATCAGGATCAATGATGTTGACGTTTAATAAAGCGGTACAACAAAGCATTTACAAGAATATTCATGTTGCTCACCAAGGACAACTTCGCATTGTATTTACTCCAGAGTTGAAGGTCAGTGACTTTTGCGCTTTTGTGCTTACAATTTCATCTTTGCATGAGCTATAAGGGCTTTTCTGTCTAGTGCACTATGCTCACTCTTTCTGCCATCGTGATAGATAATATCTTGGGAGTTCTGTGTACGATCACATGAGGAGCTTGTTTCGTGAAATTTCCTTGCAGCCCAGGTACTAACACTCACTTTTATGTTTCCTGGAATCCTGGTTCAACTTAAGTAGTAATCTGTCCTATAATATCATGTAGCACATTAGCCTCAAGTTCCTCTAAGGCTCTAACATTTGCTAATAATGCATCAATATTTCAATGTCATACAAATTTAGAAGTACTTCCTAGTGTTTTCCTATGTTGTTTTCAATGTCATACAAATTTAGAATATCAAGATTTATCTATTTCATTTCTGCCCCATTAGGCCGTTACACTAAGTGCTTTTGCTTTAATCTTCTTGGTCGTGGAGGTTCTCATTGAATTATAATTATGATATGAGTGGCATATAATCCTGTCAAAAGTTATTATATAACTCAGAATCATGTCAGTAATTATTTAGCTTTCATGGACTTAATTGAAAAATAAAGCTTACAAGTTTACTCTGCCCTTTTTATGTTAATGTGGGATATATGTGCTATTTATATATATGCTCATGCCATAAGTAGATCAAATAACAATATGTTTACAAGCTTCTTCTTTGGGGCATTTTCTTCAAAAACAAGTTTGAAAAACTGAAAGCATACTCCTCTTAGAATGTTCAATTATTGAACTTTTATACCATAACTACCTACATGTTTATTTATCGAAAATCAAAGACTAATCCATGAAGGCACTATATTTAATATGAGACTGACTTGAGTTGCTCTTCATTTACATATATATATATGTGATGCAACATATATTTATAAAATATCTTACCATTGCAGGTTAATGAATTGGTTGAGATTGCTAAACAATGCAAAAGTAATGGAGGGTTTAATGAAAGGAATGGAGTTCAAGCACAGGATCAAGTAACAAGTAGTAATAGGTAAAACATATGACCCCTGGCTCCAAGACCACCCCCCCCCCCCCCCGGTCCCCTGGAACTGGATGGCTGCTATTATTACTTATCTAATCTCGTTCATACTAGTTTTAACTATTCCATCATGTAGTTAAGAATGAAAATGATTGTTTACTCCATTTTCTGGCTTGCATATCTTGTTCAATGAGGGAACAGGGATTTATTAATATCTAAGAGTTAGAAGCGAAGTTATACAGCCTAAGAATATCGAGCTAGGAGGTGTTTTCCCGTTAGACGAGTAATTAATTTCTTCACTGATGGTCTTTGTTCTTGGTAGGCTAATGGCTGCGGGGCAAAACCTAGCAGCAAACTTGGAACTACCTCATGTTAATGAAGCAGGCTTTTCCAAAGTATATGTTCGATACATGCAGGTATTTTAGCTTTCATAAATTGCAACATTCCAGTTTTCCAAATTTTACTATTGGTATATTAATATAGCACTCACTGATTATGGCTTTCAGATGTCTGACGTTCTTAATTCTATGAAAGATCTGATTGGTATGTGTGCTGATAGCCAATCCAACAATTTCAGTCCGACAGGTAAACACTTGCTTTCAGATGCCATTGTAGTTTTGTTTAGTTTATGCCCTGCGACTCCTGCCTGCAAAGATTTACTATCATAGACTTGTAGCATTGTTTAATACGAAGTACAAGGAATTTTTGAATGTATTATTAATATATGCAAATAATGGACTTGAGGAAATGTCAAGAACTATTAGATTTGTGGTGATTAATTTAATTGCACTGCTTGATAAAGTTATGATGCGTCTCAACTCTGTCAAAAATCAAAAATACTGCTCTGAATGATCTAGTTTTTTTTTTTTTTTTCTTTTTTCTTTTTTTTTTTCTTTTTTTTTGTACCTCCACTGCTACTTGGAATGGTAATCGTTGCATTTGTGACTGTAAGAATTGGTTTTCTGATTATGCAGAGGCTCTGAAAAGTCTTCATCGAGAATCAGTACTGAAGAATCATATCGAAAGCATAGCACAGATGCCGCAGACACCAAGTGCTAACGGTAACATTCTGGTGTCAAATATTACAACTCAATCACCAAATACTAGCAAACAGGCCATGCTGAATCCCCGAAGCTATCAAAGCCCCAACATCAGACCATTATCTTACTCTGTGCCATACAAGCCCTTATACTCTTTGCCAGGTAGTCCTAACTCTCATCAGCAAGGCCCAACCGTTATGCACCAAATAAACGACCTTCTAGCTCGTACGCATACTAATGGAACCCTAGCAAAAGGAGGATCACAAAGCAGGGCTGTGTATGCCCCAAAAATTGGTACTCAGGCTGCAGAATCTGCTGAGCTAACAAAGGCTGATGCAATGCTGACAAAGGTGAACACATCTGTTATATTGGGTGGTATGGCGGACAAGGGTAAAGGGTTCAACTACTCATCTGGCAGCAACTCATCTGCTAGGATCTTCGCTGATAACTGCCTGGTAAAGAGAGAACCATTGTCTGACGATGACACCACCTCGAATGTTGGTCACCATCGGGTTGAGAAAAAATGATCGTCATTGATGATTTAACCTGTAATCTGCTGTTTTTGTGTAGATTTAATTACTGTGCAATTTGAGTCATGTTAAACTCCGTGATAAAGTTATGTTGCCTAATTGCCTTTATTCTCTAGGAACTTCATAGCACATCTCATTAGACTTGGCTGTTAGCTCCTTAGGGATGTGTTATGCGTATCCTTCTTTTTATTTCATATAATAGACAAGAAAAATTTATGAACTAATTAGTTACTATGTTTTTGTATAGATCAAATCTGCCTTTACTAATCACTAAGCTAGAACAAATTGAATTCTAGAGGAAGATGAGACAAGCAACAAAAGAAAAACAATCTGTTGCCTAAGAGATCATCTACATTTAGTGGACTAACAATTACCAAATTGAAAGAAAATGCAACTCAAATCTCCATTGTATTCTACGTATTGACTGTCTAGATCATCTACAATTAGCAGACATTCTGTTACGATTTGCAAACCCGAAAGTCCAACACGGTTAGTAGGACTGGAAGGCACGTTTTGGGTTTTATGTTCGGGTAGTGAAGGGGCGATGTAGGGAATCTAGAGGAGATCAACGAGGCAGACTTGTCCACAGCCTACCCGCTGATACAGTTACATGAACAACTTTTTTATCCCCATCAAAGTCTGAACTATCCATGGCTAGCTTTCTTGTTACCTTTTTTTTTTTTTTTTTTTTTTTTTTTGTGAATGAAAGTTTTCTTGTTACTTAGTTTCCTTTGTTTAGTTGATTTAGAACTCTAGTAGTTATATATATAATGTATCCCATTTAATTGAATTTAGTTTAGGAAGATATTTACGATTTAATTTCTTAATATCACTGCTATTCTAGACGTAGGATACATTTTAGAATACATAAGACTTGTAGAAAGGGTAGGAATTGTCGGACTCTACTCTATATAGTGATTTATGAATCTTCAGCTTTTGCATGCACAATGACGGGGTGAGATATATTTTTTATATAGGACATGACTTTATATATTTTTTAATGGCATAGGACTCTCAAAAGGTTTAAGACCACCTTGCAAGAAGTCAACTCGTGTTGCTTCAATAGAGGCATCATTACCCAACAACGATGAACAGATCATGTTTATTGGACTGTGTTAGACTTGAGGGGAGGATAATAGAGTTTAGATTACGTAAAACTAATTAAGTGTCAGAAACCCATACTTAGAGCCATGTATACTCAATAATAGGGAGATATTATAGATTAACACTCTTAGGTTTCTAGATTATAGTTCTTGTTAGTTGATTAGTAACAATTCGTAATTTATACCTACTATTATATAAGGTGTTTTTCATGAAAATATTTGTTTTTCTCAACACATTCAAGCTACCAACTTGATAACATAAGCGTCTCCATTCTTTTTTTTTAGTGACCGGTCGTCTAGTTACTAGAGTGAACCTTCCCCTTAATTATAACCACAAAAAATCATTAATTTCAATAAAACAAAAAGGTTAATGACTTTATATCCACCCTTTATGAGAAATAGGTGGTGAAAAACTATGGAAAAGGCACCGGCTTAACCGGCATCCCACAATTCAAAAGGATGTCCCTTTTTAACAGAGTCAGACTCAATTCAATACGGTGCACGGACCAGCACAACTTTTGTCCTTTTGTTGGCAATCTTTGTCCTTTTATGATATTATATTGTAAGCAAATGACAATAGTAAAACTAACAATGATAGGATAAATATTATCAAGACAATATTTAAACTAGTACTGACAATATGATTTTTAGCGTTTAATCAATACGAATTCACTTTTATGGTACTAGCTATCATTACTCTACTACTTACATACCATAATGAATCTTCTTTTCTAGTTTAATGCCCACCATGCTTCACAATAATAACTGTTTAATAAGAAATTTTTGACCAATACCTGAACTTAGTTGGCAATAGAACCTCCGGCGTTCTTCAGCTTCCGGCTATACCAAGGTAGCTAACCCCAACCCTGCCTTCCTTAGATCAAGTTCGGCACAGATCTAATTCGTTTCATACCTTAGACCGTAATCTCTACTTAAACAAGTTATATTGTGTTTCTGATGAACTTTTAAACAACAAAGTAATTCATTTGTGATATAAGGTTCAAGAGGATAACGTTCCCTCTTGAAAGAAAACTTTTTATTTAATAAGGAAAGATTACAACACTCATATATCTTACAAGCTGAAAGCTTAAATATACATGAACTGAACTAGAGTTTCTCTACTTTAAGAGAGATGGAGAACCAATCTGTCTCTTAAGGTGAGTACTTTTCTCTAGAAGTCTCTCTAAGGGTTTTCAGAGAAATGCCCTAACTCACTCCTTCAACCCTACCCTTCTTCTTAATCTACCATCCTTTATATAGCAAAGGATTCTTATCTTCTACCAACACTCATGACTCAGCAAGTTCATAAGAACCACTACTTTTTACAAAGATATTTTTCAAAAGAAATATAGAAGATAAAAAACATGGCTATAGTAGATTGCATGACTGTTATTATGGGCTCAGTATTCCATTATCTCGTCCATCATCATGTCTTGTAAACCACCCTCACTGTCTTTACTATCTTCATAATGGACATACATAGGATTATCATCTTCTATGCCGAGGTCTTTAACACATTTTGCAGCATATGATTCATCCTACGTTATGAAAGCTTCAAACGGATACACATGTCCTTCGAATGATAGAAATTTTCCACTCTCAACATCTTCTAAATATTTGTAGATCGACTCAGTATTGTTAATGCCATCTACTAAATATTCTCTCATTTCGCTTGGTGCTACAATTGTTGTAGTACCCACATGGAATATAATAGGAGGATTTTTGATTCTCTTGATAAAAACATTGAGATATTGTGAGATATTAAGAATCCCAGTGCTCTTGCTTCAGTAGGATTTTTTACAGTCTTTTAACGAACTAGTATGAGATCTTGAGTACTAAATGCCACTTTCCTAAACATTATCAAATAATGAGGCGGACGGACTTGTCCTTCTATAACTTCAATATTCGCACATTGCACCCTTGCTTCTAGCTGAAGATTTTCTTTTTTGTCATCACAAAATCTTTGGACCTTATTGAATGCATATTGTTGGAACTTTATAAGCTTTGGATAGAATGAATCATTAGAAGTAAAGAAATCATGAAAGACGTATACCATTCCATAATCCCAAGCTTTATAATGTATCCAAATGAATGGAGCATCCGATGAAGTGGATACGGATTAATGCGTAATTATGCCACTTTAGAGTTTGTAGGAAACTCTACTCGTTCTTCCCATAGGTCTCAAACATCAAAGAATCGACTGGATCTTGTTACTACCAGCTCGTACCATGTTCTAAAATCATTATCCCTTATTTTATTGAGTATTATTGTAACACCCCCAAATCTCCCTCTACGGAAATACTAGTATAATACGTATAATTATACCGTAGAGATAGACTTAGGCGTATTACCGCCGCGTGATTACGCAAGGCTACTCAACTTACTAACCAAAACCAATACTTTGCAGCGAAAACTTCAATACTTTCTTTATTAATAATAATATAAATAGTAACCATAGTCATGAGTACTCATAATTGAACAAAGACCAACATTCCTAATCTAGGTGAAAAACATTCCCAGGACTCCCATATGCATAATTTTTGACACCACCTGAAATAAGTCAACATTGCTTACCATTAAGGTAAACAGGGCGAACCAAACTAGATAGGAAATACAGATTAGCAAAATATGCTAAGTACGATAAGTGCAAGATAAGTAAATTCAATTTATTAGCAAACATGCTTTTAAATACCAATTCCAATGTTAATCCAATAATTCCAAAACTCATAGTTTCAAAACCAATTCCAATAATATAATTCCAAAACTTATGATTCAAAACCAATTCCAATAATAATATAATTCCAAAACTCATGATTCAAACCAATTCCAATAACTCAATAATTTGAAAAACGATTTATAAAACCAATTATTCTTTTGAAAACCAATTCCTATTTTGAAAACCAATTCCTCACCCATGTGTGCAGACCCCCCAAGCTAGTCTCATACTATTTCAAGGCTATTCTTGAGAAAAGACTCGGTCATACAAAGTCCAAAGTCTTATCTACCAAATCCGCATAGTGGGATTACTAACAACATGCTTGTAAAGCTTTAATGAATAATTCAATAAAAGTCCTCTTTGAATAAATTCAACCTTTATAATAGGTTAACTCAAAACTCCTTTTTATTTAATTCAACGTGCTTTCAAAATCAACCTTTTAATAAATACTTGAGAACTAAATCTCATATAAATAACTTTTTAAAATCAATAACTTTTCCTTTGCAAAACCTTTTTAAAAACTCTTTAAAACAATTCAACATACTTTTTTTTAAAACCAAATTCCTTTAAACATAATAAATAATTTCAAACCATTCAAAACATGATATTAAAATCATTCCTTTAAAAATACATTTATTAAAACAAATATTAAAATCAATACCTACAAACATACTTTGTTTCATAAATCATGATTCAAATCAATTTAATTCAATCACCAATATAATCATATAAAACATGCTATTCAAACCAATCACTTTCGAAGGTATCTAGCCACCTAAAGGTATCTTGATTTCGAATATCAATCAACACTTCGCACTTTTAAAGTTCAATCACGAATACACCTTGCAATTAACATAACCATAAGGTTATCACAACATCTTTAGACATAAACCCAAATCTAATGTGCATGATCTATAAAACTCTTTTAAAATAACACTTTAATATTAAATTATAGCTTTGAAATAAATATTTATATTTTATAAAACTAACCATGAAGAAAATAAAGGAATAGGATTAGAGAGAATTGAATTTGCGTTGGAAAGAATAGGCAGAACTTGAAGAGGCCATAACTCATTTGATGTAACTCTAAATTGGGTGATTCTTGATCCTAACCTCAAGGATGTTTTGAGAGGAACAATTTTCCGTGAAATAGAAAAACCCCAAAACTGATCAGAAGT